CCCTAGTTAAAAGGTCTGAGTGACAAGACAACCAAGGCACATATTTCAGGGTATGTGGGGGGAAGCATGGGCATGTGTAATGTGTACGTGTGAAAAGTTCTACAAGCTGTTATTTTTCCTCATGTATTTACTTTTTTTAAAAACATTTTTGGATTGTAACACTTCCCTGCAATGTTTACAGCTCAAACATTACAGTGCTAAGCTGGTGCATGAGAATCAGCAGAGAAAAAACAAAGCACCTTATTTCCTTTGTCCAAACTGATGCAATGCAAAGTATAAAAATAAAAAATGATGAAAAGTAAGTGAGACCATTTATAGCAGTTCATTTTTAGTACTTTCAGGGATTAGTAAAGTGGATAATGATTTGTTATAAATGGGTGCATCTACATGTGCCATTAGTACACAGAAATAAACTTCACAGCAATAAGCTTATTGCATATAGCTTATTGCTCCAGTTTTATTGCTCCTTGGAAGCTCCTGGATACACCATTTATATGTGCACCTGTACCACAGCACACCGGGCCAAGTTGGAGCAGCCCCAGCCCCAGCCAGGCTCAGTGTGCTGTGGAGGGGCTGGCTGAGGCATGAGGGTGCATCAGTATTGGGTTGGCCAGCAAGCAGATGCCACACTGAAGCACCCTTGTGCCCCTGCCAGCCCCATCAGCATCTACACATATAGTTACAAGTACTACCCTGCTTTGGAGTTTATTAGTTTTCTGTGCCCTAATAGGGATGCGCATGTAGACACCGAGATATTTTTTACTGAAGAGCTAATTAGTCAGCTTTGTAGTAAATACCTTGTGTAGAGGTAAGCAGTTTGATGTTTTAACCTCGTAACACCCCTTTGAAAATTTATTTTTCCCTCTTAATTAGGAGAATATGAGAGATTTCTATGGAAAAGTTTCGATTACAACTGTGCAGTATCATGAGCAGGGGTACCATTTCAATAATTACATATCTTTATTTGGAGCCAAAGCCAGTGCATTTCGCCTGTAGCTCTACATCAGTGTTCTCAATCTTTTCAAGGCACCCTTGTTAGCCTCAGGGCACTCCTCAAGGGACTCAAAGCACTCCTCAGAAAATGTCAGCTCTTAGTTTTTACTCTTTTTTTTTTTTTTTTTACTACAATAAAGCAGTTGAGCAATTCTTCTGTTGTTCTGTTGCAAAGAACTCAGACCACAGCAGGTTAAAATATTTTTAACACTATGGAGTCCTGTTTGAAATCTCTAGTTTTATCCCATGAATCATGATTGTACACCTAACAGCACTAACATTATGCAGCACCCCATGACACCCGTGAAAGGATCTCAAGGAACCCCAGGTTGCTATAGCACCCTGGTAGAGACTCACTACTGTAGGCAAATGGCCTTTTACTCAGAGTTGGAGCACTGACTATCATGGACAGGAACCAATGGATACTACTGATACTCGTCCCTGACTGGACAAGCCTCTATAGTCTGATAAATGACAGCTATATTTGGCAGTACAGATATACATACTCCAATACAGGAAGCAAAAACACATGCCAACAAAAGAACTGCTCCATATCCTAGCTTCTGAGATAGGAACTCCCACATGCAACATACTAATTCTACTTCCTGCCAGAGTTTATATTTTGCTAGCAGTGCCACTGTATCCAAACATTTAGCTCAACCGTGAACTAATATATGCATGGTCCTCCAAAGAGTTCCACATCCAGCAGGATCTTAAGTACCTCTTCTGCCTGTTCCCAACTGTATTCCCTCACCCCCACACTTCAGCCTGTGAACTGGCCAGGAACCTGTAAGTCCATCTGTCATCATTAGCCAACTGCCACATAGTCATTTTGTTGGTTTGGCTCCCTGGATATAAAGCTGACTGCTCTTGACTAGTGAGGCTATGGGGCTCTGCTGTAGGGAGTGAAGGTGTGTTGCTCTTTCCTTTATATACCTCCAAGCTCTCTAGAAGATACTATTCTCCCTGTGTCTTACAGGAGTTATTTTGTGCAACATATGCAAATCTGAATGAGCTTCCTCAAATCACAGCCTCATCATTAGAGCACTATTTTCATTCAGTTGTTCTTTCTGTGTGGTCATACACCATGATGGGAAGCCTTTCTGGGTGACCAGATCCCAAGATTTTTTTTTCCCCCATTTCAAATGACAGTTCGTAGTATCTATAATGACAAGTAGATGGTAGACTTCTAGTGAGAGTACTCCTATATTTACAACAGACCTGTTATATATTTTAATGACTGCAAAGAGGCCTGGAAGCAGGGAAGAATATGAAGCACAAGGGATTACTGTCTAGTGCCTTGTACCAGTTCTAAACCAAGGCAGGGGGTTCTCCTGTTAATGGCACTCTTGCTTGTCAAATTCTGTCTATAGTTAATCCATTAACCTGAAACGAACGCAAAACACCAATAAAATGGTGTTTTAGGGTTCACAAAACTAATAAGCGTGCTTATTAGTTTCTTGAAAGTATTACCGTATTCCAGTTAATGCCACATATAAATAAAATGTATGCCTTAAAAAGTACGTGCAGATTTTCTGAAGACAAGTAGTATCGTACAGTGCTTAAAGGGAAGGACCTCAGATTTATTAATCCGGATGGCAAGGTAGTACGGCTTTGCTTTGAGATCTTGTTCTTCTTCCCACAATTATAGTTTTCAAGCTATTTACATTTACTCTTCCTGCTTTCCTCACTTTTAAAGAAGCCAATTAAATCCAATGTTTGAATCATCATAAAAATAGCATAACATACTGCCTGAATTTATCAAGTAAGAAGCTTTTTTTTTTATACTAATTCATTTATCTCCTGTGTAAATGTTGTAAAAGTTCCAGCAGCAGCATTAGTGAGATTTTCTGCACAATGCTGTCATGGCAGTGGATTCACAAGCTTACTCTGCTGACCATTTTTCCTGCAGGACTGTATGTGTCACACTCTCTTTTCAAGCCATGTAGGAATATTTTAAAGTTGATGTGAAAAGCTTACTCCCTGTGATGGAGAAGATTGTGTATTCTAGAAGTACCTGTACCAGTATGCAGGAAACCTAATGTGTATGTTATATCGTAGAAGTTCCTGTTTTGTTCTCAAAGGCGATGCAAGCTCATTCAAAAAAGTAACTCCAGACTTTCAGTGATGGTAATGTTCTAAACTAATATGGAGAAGCATCATCCTAGTCTTAGTCCTAATTACAAGAAACCTAGGGCATGTCTACATTTGCTATTAATTCGAAGTAGGCTTACTGTGCAGTAAAAATACTGTGTAGTAAGCCTACCCAGGAGCACGTCTACATACGCTCCCTCTTGGAAGCAGATTTGCTCCCTATAGGAGCAGCCCAGTGCAGGGCTGATTCTACCCTGCTCTGCCTAGCCTGGGGGCTGGCAGGAAGCATGGGGCTGGTTCCCATGCACACAGGGCCAGGAGTGCTCTGCCAGCTGCAGCTGTCTCTTATAGATTCATAGATTGTAGAGTTGGAAGGGACCACAATGGATCATCGTGTCCGACCCCCTGCCCCTGGCAGGAAAGAAAACTGAGGTCAGATGACCCCAGCCAGGTGACTGTCAAGCCTCCTCTTGAAGACCTCCAAGTTAGGTGATAGCACCACCTCTCTTGGAAGCCCATTCCAGATTCTGGCCACCCTTAATGTAAAAAATGTCTTCCTAATGTCTAACCTAAATCTACTCTTCACTAGTTTGCACCCATTATTCCTAGTTACCTGGCCCCATACACATTGGAAGGGGTCCTGATGTACATGGGGCTGGGAAACAGCTGCAGCTCCAGAGCTCTCCTGCCCCATGCACATGGGGACAAGCTCTGTGCTCAGCGGGGCTTCTCTGCACAGCCTGGGACTGGCCAGGAACTGTCCCATTTTGGGGCAGGTCCCAACCAGCTCTGAGCTGCATGAGAGTCCTGGGCTGGGCAGGGAACTCGTGCAGCCCAGAGCTGACTGGGACCTGCCCCAGAACAGGACAGCTCCCAGCCAGCTAGGGGAACTCCTTGTGCAGCCCAGAGCTATCTGGGACCTGCTGTAGAACAGACAGTTCACAGCCAGCCCCAGCCTAGGTGGGGAAGCAAGCTGCTCCAGACTCCTAGTGCTGCTTGGCTCTCAGCTCCGGGACGGTGGGGAAGGGGGTAAAGTGCTACCCCGCCCCAGCGTTGCTCAGCTCCCAGCCTCTAGGGGGAGCTTGGAGCTCAGTACTGCAAGTACTGGGGGAGTTACCCATCCCCTGTGGCCCCCTAATGCAGGGGCTGACCAGGACAAATTTGTTCTGGCCACCATCTACATATGCTTTACTACCTGTATTTATGGGTAGTAACTAACTGCACAGAAGAGTCATTTACTGCACAGTAAGTGTGCACGTGTAGATGGTGATGCTTTACTGCACAGTAGATCAGTCTGTGTAGTCAAACATCTTGTGTAGACACTCTGTGTCCTTTCTCCCTCTTTGGAAGACAGTGGTATGTCCAGGTTTAAAATATTTATCAAGCTTTGTGGGGCATCTTTAGTATGTATGTATTTAGACAATTTAAAAAACTACACAAGCAACATTTTCATTATGGCATGCAGGGCAATTGAGTGAATGGTTAAATCACTAGATACAACAGAGAAAGTATAACTTGCTGGGACCCTGATTCAGTTAAAGAAATGAAGCGAGAGAAGTCACTCTGGAATGCTGGAGTCAAGTAAGAAAGAAAATAAAACTTTAGAAAGGATCAAGATGAAAGGTCAAAATGAGAGGGAGAGGTACAGAGCCCCCTCATGTGCTCCTTGAAGAATAAAGTGCCAAGGACAGGGCAGTCTGTTGTGTATGACTGTGAAAAAGCAAGGGGAGAAATTGTCTTTAGCTGTGGAAGAAACCGTTATCAGAAAAATTGTTCACAAAGGCAACGGTGAGGTCCATGGCTAAATCCAGGTGGTATGTGCCTAACAGAGCAGGACACTTTGTCACTCTTAGTTTAATCAGGAGGTGTTCTTGAGAATGCTAAGAGCTCCAGGCTCATAATCAAGTACTTACATAATCATCCTCATGCAGCCCTTGTTTCTGAACAGAACTTTTCACCTCTGTGGAAAACTTCTCAAACTCAGGTTTCACTGTCCTCAGTAGAGTGACTGTTTGGAGGGATGAGTATGCTTGCTTCGCTTCAAGGTCGTGTTTGTCTCCTCTCTTCCACGAGCCATTTCCTAAGGGAGAAATAAACATATTTATAATTCCAAGTCAGTTACCAGAAAGGGACTGTTTTCCTTTTCTGATGAAATATCACCATATGTTTCTATATATTGCTTGGAGTCATTAGTGATGTACAAGACACTGCTGCCACTCCAATGTGTGCTGAGGCAAGTTCAAAAGAGAGTAAAACATGCTGCTTGATGCTAAGGGAGCAAGATGGGGAGGAACCACTAATATAACAACATTGAAATAACTGTAGATATGATGTACTGTCAAAATCCCAATATAGTGTGGTAAGAAAAAAGAGTCTTTATCATCATTCTTTGCTTGCACTGTTAACATCTGGACTTAGATTTAGCTAGAAGCAAGCAACATGCTCAGATGCAGAAATGTAGTGCGTCTTAAATACAGAGACAACAGTTAGAACAAGTGGAAGGGAGACAAATCTCCTGGATTCTGTCCCCAATCAGTCCAAAAGTGACTCTCAGTGTGACCTGAAGGAAAGTCAAAAAGGTCTAACTGGAAGTAGAAAACTGAAAGTTACCTGAAAGGATATCACAGAGGGCCAGACCTTATACATCACAGCTCTCCGACTAAAATCAACTGGTACTGCAATATGCACAGTGGTTACAAGGTGGGCCCTGCTTTTTTTTTTTAAATTTAAAACAAACCCCTAACAACAAGCATGCCTTCTCCTGCAGTGTACACACCTATGCCTAATGCCTCCAGTTGGCCAATTTAACTCAAACAAATAATTGTAATTGGAGCTTTTTTAATTTAGAAGCAGGTGACTTGTGTTTAATTATTAAATGTTTTTTCCTGCCTGGACCTGTCATGTCTTGAGAACTTCCTGTGAATTGGCTGGGCACTGAGGGCCAGGACCGAGGTCAACAGAAAGACTCCCATTGACTTGGATCAGATTCTAACTTTATTCTATACTAGTGATAAAAAAGAGGCTTTGAGAGAATAACAGTGTCATAAACAACATGTGTGTAAGCACTTAAAAATAATTAAATGTGAGACGGTCATTTTTATTTTTGGAATTAAAAAGCCACTGGTGGCTAAAAGTACAAAGCCTAGAAGTAGAACACAACTAGGCGTTGAGGTTTTGAATCCAGAGACACAGAGGGCCCTGAGATGAGGGAGGATGTGATCACCTCACTTAGTAAGGGAAGAGAGAAAGTGGTTCAGTTCCAGGAAGAGAAGCGATGGAAGACAAGAGAAGACACCAATGTTGGCAGCAGCCAGGCACCACAACTTCCACCAGCTTTGACTCGGACATCAGGACAACATTATGGTATAAGGGAAGTAAGGTTTTCAGGTCCTATGTGAAGTCTCATGGATCCTCTACTTTCTCCAAAAGCATTTGGATCAAGAGCGGGTGGGACCTGGAGTTCTACTTGCCCTACTCCCTAATGTGCTGTGATGCTGCTCAGACATTACTGGGGTAAGGCAAGTGGATTCATGTCAGCAGCAAATGACTCTCCTCCCTCTCCTGCCCTGAACACTGGAGGTGCAGTGAGCAGAACGGTACTTCCTAGAAGACAGATTCTTTCCCTGTGCTGCTTCTGGGACCCTACAGCTATTTGCCACCTCAAAGGGCTGTGTTACAGGCACAATCCAGCCCCCCGGTGAGAGCCAAGTTAAACATCAGCTTACTTCCACTATTTCCCCTATCCCAGAAAGGTCTTTGTTTCCTAAAGCACAGCACTGTGACACTGCTTCATATCTACAGTCCTTACAGATTATGATCTTGGCATCTTGGCAGCATTTATACATGACCTTCTCTAATTCTTTATTAACCAGCTGTTTCCCCCTTTTTGGCTTCTCTTTTTGTCATAAATTCTTGTGAAGAATATCTTCTACGGCAAACTGTCAAAACGGAGTACGCTCTCACAGCGCACCAAAGAAGTGGTACGAGGACACCCTAAAGTTGTCCCTAAAGAGTTTCGGCATTGACCTGGAGTCATGAGTGCAAATCGGTCATGACCATCCATCCTGGAGGTCATCCATCCAGAATGGAGCACTGGTCTTCGAACAGCAACGCACGGCAGAAGCAGTAAAGAAACGTGTGGCCAGGAAAATGAAAACCTCTTGTACCCAGTCCTCATTGCTTTCCTGCCCCTGCTGCAGCAGACTGTTCAAGGCAAGGATTGAGCTTATAAATCACCTATGTACCCACGCAATGTAGCTGCCACCCTCCTCCTTTCTCTTTCCTCTCTCTTTCTCCTTTTTTCTTCTTTTCTCCCTCCCTGTTTCTTTCCCATTTCTATTCTCTCTCCTTCTCCCCCCGCCCGTGCTGGATGCTGTCGTCTTCGCCCACAAAGGCCAACAACACATTTTTGTGTGGTTCTAAGCTACCATGACTCTTGGCTTAGTGATCCTCTTCACAACTGTAGGTTGTAACCGTTAGACCCTGGTCACCCTAACAGTAACTAATTTAGCCTCCTTTTACAGCAAGCTCTCCATAGCATCTCTCTGAAAAGTGCATGAAGGCAGCTGACACACCCACAATATGCTCCAAGCAGCACAGTTTTCTATTCCCACATACACAAAGCATTTGTATTTCTGCTGTCCAAAGAAATGTATGTGCTCCAGGTGATACTACTGCCAGTTCAAGTGACAAATTCAGGATAAAAATAACCAAGGGCCTCATCCTGTTCAGAAACAGGAACAAGTCCTCCCTCCTCCGTTCAGTGCCCCCTCGGCCCCAGCCAATAACAAGTGTAAACCTGTCCCTGAATGTGACAGAACACTGACCATATATTTGAGGAGCTGAGGTCAGGAAACCCCTCCCAGAGCCAGATCTTTGGATCTGAAAGACTACAATCTTGGAGAACTTCCATCAGCCTTCTAATACACAGGATGGTTGCCATGGCTTTTTGCATTTACGCATGAAGAGGACCAAAAGGTGAAGAATTACGTCCCAAGGAACCATGGTATTGGTACAGCCTGATCATAACCATGAACAGACTTTTGTGCTGTATTCTGACCTAATCCTATGCAATTGAAAAGCTGTTGTAACTGTGGAGCTAGCAGCTATATTTACTTAATTAAATTCCTAAAGTAATTCACACATTTCATGTTCTTTCAAAGACCTTTGCTGGGGGCTGACATCTCAGAGCAGCACCTAAAATACTTTCTAAGAAAAGAAAGAAGAAAGCTGCTATTACTGTCTCAGCATTTTAAATACCTGCTTTTTCTTTTGTACAGATTAGAAGTTTTAAGAACAATAAAGGACAACAAAAATGATAATTATTTTTGTTTAAAAGGGCGATATCTATTTGTAAATCATGTTCTGTCTTACAAGTCTGTACCTCTTACAGTTCCAGTAATACCCTCAGGTTACTGGAATTGAAAGGGGCTAATGCCGGGGGGATTCTCTGTATTTTCTGTCTGTTTATGCATTTGACAGGAATTTGTGAACAGTTAGTTTCTCTGTTCCCCTTCCATAGTTAGTCATTTTTTCCCCTCGCTGAAAGACCCTTCTAACATTAGAGAAGCAGAAAACTCTTTTAATGATTCTTTTAAAGGATTTTTTTATTGGCAGGGAATGCTATTTCTATAATGCTGCATCAGAAGGTAATTTCTTAAATTAGTGGCATAAAAATTCAAGTAGACAGTGGTCCCTTAATTCTGTCATCAGGGTGTTGAGTCACCTTTGGGAAAATGTGCTTTACCAACTAAGGACACCTTTCAATAGATGTCCTTGGGCACAGAAATTTGAATTAATTACAACATGTGTGTGTACATCTTGTGTATGTGACTGCACTGCAATAGAGTGAGCTTGACTGCTTCCTTCAGCCATGTGCTAAGACTAAATACAGCAATGTTTGTCTGTAGTAATTATGCGCCATCAAAAACTGAAGTAGTTATTAAATCAGTGGTTTCCAGCCACAGCTAGGGATTCAAATACTGGTCTGCAAAATTCCCACTGACTTCAGTAGGGCTGGGATTTCATCCTAGGACTTTGGCTTTTGTGGCTAGTGATCCAGGCAAGCCCTCACTCCTTCAGTTTACAGTGCTCAAAGTTTGATTTAAAATCACCCATTTTGAATCAAGATCCAAATGAGAAATTAAAGATATTTTTATTGAAATTCTCACTTTTTAATCTTGTTTTACATCTGTACTTTTTAGTAATTTCCCTAAAAGAAAGCAGATTCTCATTTGTTGTGATATTTTAGTCCTACTTATTTATATCCCCTTGATTAGCTAAATCTGCATATGTGGATTTCAGCAATTATATAAATTAATATACAACTGTTCAGATTCTTAATCCTTGCATTTTAAAATTAGATAGTGATGGATGACTTTATTTGCCAGATAAGGATTAATTTTTACTTGTGGTTTATATCAAACTGCTTTTGGATAGATATTGGGAACTGGTTTAAAATGCATAAGTCAACATTTAAAAATGGCTTTTTAGTTCAATAGGGCTACTTTATATGTGCTGACTATTCAATAAAGGCAGTTTATCAAAAATAGTTTGCTTTGAAAATTCATTGGGTTTTTTAGACAAAGGAAATACCAGTGATTTAAAAAAAGAAAAATAACGATTGTTGTGTATCACCACATTCTTCAAGACCTTACAATGTATAGATCTCATTTACACCCTGTTTTTATACACAGGCTGGAAAAGAAAAGCAAACTTTCCTCCTATTTTAACTCCCACATAGGGACTCAACTCTAAATAAACACTGAGCTAAACTTAAGTAAATTGAAATCAAGAGAATATTCTTTCTACACCTGCAGAAGAGCTTATTGCTGTTAAAAACGTATTTAACACTTGAATAATCTCTGGGTTCCTGGCCAGTGGATTCCCCTAGTTCAATTGTCTGATATTATTTAAAACTCTGGTAGCAAACACTGGTTGCTTGAGTATTACTTTTTATTTAATTTAAATGATCCTGCTCCAGTGGATTGGAGCTGCCCATGTCTCATTCGGTTTGCATACTAAAACCAAATGCTGGTGTGTATTTTTGCAGAAACTGTTTTCAGTCTAATACCAAAGAATGTTACATCTGTAGACTCCAGTTAGTGACAGATTCTGAAACTTCAGACTTGCATTGTTGGAGAGAGGCAAACCCTTACTGCCCTTAACAATGACCTTCTGTCCTGGTCACCCTATGCCATTGCTGCCCACTGCCCATTCATTGTCTGACTCTAGCCCACAACAGAGACCCAAGATTTTCAATCACAAAACTTAAATCTGAATCATTATACTGTGTATGGAATATACATAATGGAACAGCAGGCAGGGAGAACTGGCCGATATAATCATGGCTTTTGTTTAGTGCAATTTCACCAGAAGAAAACAGAAAGCGTCATTATGCCATTTATAAATCCATGGTGCTTTCACTCCTGTGACTAGTTCTGGTCCCCACACCTCAACAAGGATATAGAAGAACTAGAGAAGGTCCAGAGAAGAACCACAAGGATGATTAGTGGTATAGAGTAGCTTCCATATGAGGGGAGACTAGAGAGCTTTGGCCTTTTCCATTTAGAAAGACGTGCTTGAGGGTGGACAACATAGGAAGGGTTTACAAAATACTAAAAGGTGAAGAGCAAGGAAATAGGGATTTATTATTTACTGTCTTTCACAATACAAGAACTAGGGGTCATAAAATGAAGCTAGAAGGTAGTAAGTTTAAAAATAACAAAAGGAAGGTCTTAAAGTGTGGAACTCATGTGACAACATGTTGTGGAAGTTGACAGTGTAGCCAGATTAAAAAAAAAAAAAAGGGCAAATTCTTGGAGGAAAGGGGCATCAGTAGCAATTAAGCATGGGAGTTTGGGGTACAGTCTGAGTGAGAACTTCCTAAACCTTAAATGCTGGAGGTTGCAAGTGAGAGAGGAACAGTGGAAAAAACTCTGGTCATACCCTGTTCACTTTCCCTTTCAGCCTCCAGTCTCTGCCATTGTGTAATAGAGGATACTGGGTAAGATGGTTTGACCCAGTAAGTGGCAGTTCTTATTGTCTTATGTTCTAAAGGGAGTTTATGTGCTAAAACTTCTATTTATTCATACAGCGTCATTTAAGTCCAGAAGTAGTACAAGCTATGACTTCTGTTTTCCTTCTTGTTAATATCATAATCCAAGTGGAGGTCGACTCCAAGGCCAGGCAGAGATAGTGGTATATTTTAAGATTAGTGGTGGTGTATTTTAAGACTCACAAATCTAAAAATGTTATCATGTTTACAGAAAGTGTTGCCAAATGGGATTAAAAAGAAAAAAACATTACCATAGGATGAACTGTTGAAGAGTTCAATATTGAAGAAAATGTAGTCTCCATTGGTCATTCCTTGACGATGAGCTGCTAACATGATGTTCCTTATTGTATCACCACTGGCACACATTATTACAACTGGTGGAGGAAAGTGGAAAACAGAGATAAGAAGTTGTTCTTGAAACCTGTGGGAACAGACTGTTAAGCGTGTGCATTGCCAGAGACAGTGACCTGAACTGTCCTCCCAACATTTTTAGAAACATGACAACGGAGTGAACAAATAAAGCTGGGATTTTCAAAGAAGACTATGGGAGGTAGGCACCTACTTCACTTCGAAAAACACAAGTATTAAGACCAAATGTTATCTTATTTTTTACTTTGTGTGATGAGGTTTCATTTATTTATTTGTGTAATTTCATAACTTGTATTGCAATAATAAAACAGCATTATTGCTTTAAAGTTTATATAGAACTACCTCAAGATAATCTCAAGATTAAGAAACAAAATGGTATCATTTTAAATTTCCTTTTGTACAGTTCTATGACATGGAGAAACAACTTATTACAAATTTCAAGGTCTCATTTTGTAGTGACCCAAAAGTCAAATACAAACTCTTATCTGTTAAAATGTGAACTACTATAGTATGATTCAAAGATGCTCTGTCCAGTCACCCAGGCCCACACTAGCAGATCACATTTCCAGAGGCCAGCCCTGTTAAGATCTGAGAGCTACTCTCCAAGCAAAATTGTATTACTTCAAAATTTAAATGCAGAGATGCACTTGGCATTCTGTTTTGCATCACTTGCTGGAGAAGTGCTGCAGTGCGTAGTTACTATATGTCAAAGTCAGTATCTCACTTTTTACAATTGTAATACATGTGAGAGGCCTTTTTAAAATATTTTCTAGCTTCCCTCCTCATTCACATGTACTATTAAATTATTGTCCCGAAAGTGGAAACAAAGTTATTCCCACAGCACCAGTTAATGATCTTGATTAAAAGGAATGACTAAGAGTGGGAAAAAAAATTCTGCTTTAAAATGCGTTGATAAGTCATAGTTTGAGAGCAGCAAAAGGAATGCCAGGGAACTAACAGCTATTTGGATGTGGCTTGAGCACAGCAGGAAAACATCAGAAATGCTAGTTATATTTAGTGTGTATAAGAAATACACCCATACATTCCAAAGACAATTAGACTGCATGCAAATCTCTTCTGTAAGCTTTTAAACGTGTAAATTACATTTATTTGGCTGCAAGTGTAACTTACTAGTACATACAGTTTAATTGGTGTAAAGCATATGTAGCAAAATCAGTTCAGCATTAATATTTTTAATACATGGGCTGAGGCTCTGAACCTGGAAGGACTGTATATAGTGTTTCACTCCACAAATGTGAGTAAGATCAATGAAGTTATTAGGGCCATTTCTGTACTGAAATTAGACGTGTGCATAAATGTTTGCAATACTGGTGTTTTGGCCAGCATTATTAACCAGGGCCAGTTTGCACTCACTAGGCCAATTTAACAAAACTCAGCAGAGAGCTTTGTTGAACTAATCACTGAAAGCTTTGGCAAGCTGAATTGGTCTTGGAAATCATAACTAAAAAGACCAGCTTTTGTATGAAGCATTCATTTTTCTTCATCATTGTGTTACTTGAAGGTTTGGTAGGTTCATTTTGAATGCTCAGATTCATAGTTTCCAGGCTGTCTTCTTTCTTAAAGTACAATTTTTCGAAGTCATTATACTGCTGTAGTTCCCCTTTCAAAGTGTGTGTGCGCGCGCGCGCGCGCAGTGTATAAAACACAAGAGATTAGAAGTTCAGCTGTTTTCTTTTGCTACAGTTAAATCTTTTCTTTTCTTATTGTAAATGAAGTGTTATGCTTTTAAGCATCAAGAAAGCCAAGCAGTGTTATAAAACTTATATTAATTAAAAATGGATCTTTTCCCTTGCTTGTCTGTTCTCCCTGGCTGCAGTTTGTTGCATGTAATTCATTTAGGAAAGTCACTAAGCAGGTTCTCAATTTTAAGCATCGACATAAGTGCTTTCCTGAATGGAGCAAGAAAGATCCATCAGTTGGTACTGTATTGTAATTAACTTGTTTATGGCCCTGCATATCTGAAAGAAATTGGTACCAGTGTAACTACACTACCACTACAAAGACCTAATGCAGACATATGGCATGATGTCTAGCTAACTGTGCGAGTTAAATGGAACATGATTTTTATCTGGACTGGAAAAAAAAAACCAACAACATTATTTTTACTTAATAAGGTGGTATGTTTCTGGGTATTTAAAAATAATTTTAAATGCATGTATCCAGTGAGGCTTAGGGTAAATTTTATTGTGACCAATATCCGTTTAGTGCCTCCTTCAAATTTTTTTAATACCTTCTTTAAAAGGAGAAAAAAAAAAAAAAAGAGAGAGAGAAAACGAAGCTTAGTATTGCTGGTACCAGAAAATTATCATCAGTTGGCATGCCTGTGAACCAGTGCTGCAATTAATAAGCTTTTAATTTGGAAGTATAGTTAGTCAAATGTATTTAAACATGTGGATTGTTCTAATATGTATTTCAAGCATTTAGTGATGTAGGATACATCCAATCTAGAAATGATTTCAAGATGTTTTGCAAGTTATTTACCTCCCTGTTGTTTTGCTGTCAGTTGGTGGCACTATTTCTACGCACAGGGAAGAACTTGTCCTTCATATGCTGATAACTGCTTCCCAAAAGTGTTCTTGTTACTTACACAGTTCTTAAGGGGTCTGCTGAATGGGAGGAGGAGGGAAGGAACCTCCTTAGTAAGACTCAACAGGGTAAAAGGAAAAGGTCTTTGCTCAGCTTTAGAACATCTACAGTCACTAAAAAACCCTGCAGAATAAGCAACAGATTTGCTGTCCAGTCCAAAACCTGCCTTTGGGCAGATGCATGTGTTTTCAGTCTTGTTGGCAAAGCAGCTCTTTTCAAGAAAACCAATTTCTACTCTAATACAAAATACTACCATCATTATAAAGGATGAAATTCTCCGCTGGAGTGAATGGCAACATTTCAATTGACTTGAGCAGAGCCAGGAATTCACCCAGTGTTTGGTCCTGCTTCCACTGAAGTCAGTGAGGTTTGTCATTAGGATCAACTGAGGTGAAGTCATGTCTTAACTTTTCCAGAGGCAAGCAAAATATATCCCCTCTCAGCTGTCTTTTCCTAATGCCCCTACGGTCTCCCTCCTACCTGCTTCTATCTCTTCTTCTAAGAGAGATAGGAAACGTGTTTCCATGTGTATTTCCCTACAAGTTGTTCTGAGCACCTGAAACAAAAAGTGCATTTAATTCTCTCATCATAAAAGCCTGTGTGCTTTTTACTCCAACACTTAAATTCATTGATGACTGGATCCTATAAGATTGGGCTTATAGTATTTAATGTTATTGTGTGCACCCACACCTACAGTATATGAGACTGGAATCCATCAGGACACTGGCGGTGTGTAATTAGAATGACTGAGTCACTTGCCGAATACCCACTGACCAAGAAGAGCAGAAATTGGCCCTTTGTGATGTCTCTGGCAGGCCACCCACGTGCAAGGAGCAAGGCAGCAGAATTGGTTCAAAACTTTTCCAGGGTGGGCATGTGCCCCCCTCCCCTTTACTAGCTGAACTGATGCAGCCTAAAAGGCAGCTGTGTAGTACCTGGGGAGAAAAGCTTCTCCATGCAAATACAAACAGGAGACAAAACAAGAGAGCCCCGGTAGGTCCTGGGAGCAGTCACTTGAAAGCACTGCCTGGGACACAGCAGCAGAGTGGTGGGAACAAGGACAGCAGCCTGGAAAATGAGTCTGTTTGGCATCTCCAGCAACAAATTGTGCAGGTCTGAAGGTGTTCCGGGGGGGCATGAGCATTGCTGTCCCACCCCTGCCAGAACATGAGGAACTCCTCTAAGGCAGAGGGTCTCAAACTGTGGTCTGCAAACCACCCCTGGTCCATGAGCTCTATTCAGGTGGTCCTCAGAAAGGTGACCTAAGGCTAACTCTGACAAACATTACACCTGACTTCCCAGAATTTTGTTCAAGAAAACAGGCACATCCATAGCATTAGAAAGGCAAGACTACTGATATTAAAATGTGTGCTTTGCTTTGTAGAACAAAAAAAAAAAAAAAGAGTTTATTAAGTAGTCCACCAAGACCCTCAGCAATTTTGAAGTGGTCCGTGGGAAAAAAAAAAAAAAAAAAAAAAAAAAAAAAAGTTTGAGAACCACTGCTCTAAGGATCTTCTTCGGGATCCTCCGAAACGGGGCACGGTGCGGAAGCACTAGGGTGGCCATCGTAGAGGACAGTCCGGTTGTCCTCCCTTGATACCAAACCGGACGGCTTTATGTCCTCTATTTTTCTCTTCAAGAGTACAGCATACACCGCAGGTGTGGGTGCACACGATAACATTAAATGCTATAAACCTAATCTTACAGGACCCAGTCATCACTTAATGCCTTAAAGAGGAAATTAGAGGACATAAAGGCACAGGGTTTGCATGAACATAGGGCAGCCGGGCTCAGTTTCTCTTCCAGAGAAGAACAGAGGACATAAAAGCGCGGGGTTTCGTGTCAACAGAGGACAGCGCAGCAGAACACCGCGCTGTCCCCTGCGGCGGCCGCCCTACACGCAGGGTGCCCGCATCCCCCCGCCCCCCGCCCAGGTGCAGCCCGCCCCGTCGGGGCGCGCGGAGGG